AGGGAGGAGGAGGAGGAGAAAAAGAAGAAGAAGAAGAAGAGGAGGAGGAGGAGGAGGAGGAGAAGAAGAAGAAGAAGAAGAAAAAGAAAAAGAAGAAGAAGAAGAAGAGGAGGAGGAGGAGGAGGCGGAGAAGAAGAAGAAGAAGAAGAAGAAAAAGAAAAAGAAGAAGAAGAAGAAGAAGAAGAAAGAAGAAAGAAGAAAGAAGAAAGAAGAAAGAAGAAAGAAGAAGACTAACCTTGGGCATGCATATGGTAGCAACCAGCCACAAACCCATCTTACTTCAACCATGGTTTAACCAACTAACCCAAGACAATAGGAAACCTCTTCCATACTATTGGTAAGAAAACAGCAACAGACACAGGTGTCAGCATTCAAGAACATTCAACATAACTCCAGAGAGCTAATTTGGTGTAGTAGTTAAAATGCTGGGCTTGAAATTAGAAGACCGGGCAGTCTATGTAAGGTCCTCCCTTAGACACCAAAGATGGCTGGGTGGTTTGGACCAACCCCTCCATCCCTCCCTCTCCCTCCCCTTCCTCTCTCTTTCTCTCCCCACGTCCTCCAGAAGGCCAAAAATCAGCTGGCCAGAATGGACATGCGCACTGTAGCTGGCATAGGGCATTGCCTTGCGTGCGCTCAGATATATCCCCATGTGCCACCTGAGGCCCACCTGCCATAGGTTTGCCCTCACTGAGGTAGACTGCCTTGAGTCAGCCAAAATAAAAGTGGAATTAAAAGCCTAATAAGAAGAGACCCTTTTTATTTTTAAGCTGAATTAAGTGAACCTGATTATGAACCCCCAATAGAGATCTGAATAGAGGACAATTAAGTATTAAAAGGCAGACTGATTAATCATCAGTGTTGGTTGTTTGCCTGAAAAGTTCAAATTTATCTTTCAATTAGGGTGTTTTTTTCTTTTTTATTGTTTAGTATTAAAGGAAGGGGGGGGGCAAATCGTTCCTTGCCAAATGAAGTTTTTATTTACTTCCTGTACCTTCCGGAGTGCATTTCATCTTTATGTAGCCTTTAAACTAACAAGCTTCCTCACGCACAATAGTCACACAAAACAATCACATCACACCACCCTATACCACAATCGATAGGTCCGTCGTAAAAGACGGCATTATTTATTTTCCTTCTTGATTTCTGTCGGCGTGTTTCACAACCCCTCCAATAGTTAACAACACAAAGGCACATGAAATATATATCCAGGGTAAACCAAATTAAGCAATTAATTTTTTAAAAAATCAAATTAAATTAAAACCTTCCCAGCAATGGTAAAAACAACAACAACAACAACAACCAATTGATAGATTGATTTTACAGGTTTTATAGCCCAAAACGTTTCTGTGAGAAACCCAACAAGTTAAAATAGTAAAAAAAACAATAGAAATCAATTGAAATTCTGAAAAAAACAACCCTAATTAGAAATCAGCCCGCTTGCAAGCTGGATGTGGGTAAACATTAACTAGCTGATGAGATAGAAGTGCCTTCAAGATCTTCTAAGAGTCATAAAAGAAGGATATTTAAGGACCTCTGTGTAAAGAGTTACAAAGTCTGGGGTCTATGATAGAGGAGGAGGAGGAAGAGGAGGAGGAGGAGGAGGAGGAGGAGGAGGAGGCGGCCATTTATACCTGTGATGGGGAACTTATGGCACGCGTGCAAGAAGTGGCATACAGAGTCATCTCTCCAGGCATGTGAGCCATTGCCCGTTGCTCTTCCAGGTTCCGACGTCCTGACCAGCTAGTCAGTGGTGGGTTCCGTATCCTGTTGCAACTGGTACGGTGCAACGGGGCCCTGTGTCCACTGCTTGCAGCATGTGTGCACATGCGTGCAGCATGTGCATGTGTCCTTACCTCCTGGACGCCTCCACGATGCTCCAGCTACTCAGCAGAGCATTGCGCAGGCACCGTACGTGCCGTATGCATGTGCGGAAGTGCTGAAGAGCTCAAATAAAGGTAAGGAGGACGGACAGGTAGGTGGGCCCCCCAGAGCACCATAACGGAATGGTACCCAGTGCTTCTGGCAGGCACCGCTAGCCCCGTACCGGGGCGTACCGCCTGCAACCCACCACTGTAGCTGGTCTTCACACACGCAAGTACTAGAAAACTGTCTTTGGAATGAAGCTTTGGAATTGTATATATTAATGTTGGTGAACCTTTTCAGCACCGAGTGTTGAAACGGGAGCATACGTGTGCGTGCTGGAATCCGGAAGGGCAGCCGCCTGGTGTTTATGCGTGTACCGGAAAGAGGATCTTCCAGTTTCCAGCATACACGTGCACTGGCCAGCTGGTGTTTGGTGCTCATATGCACCAGAAACCAGAAGACCAAGTGGCTGGTGCTCGTGGGCGCACTGGAAACTGGAAGATCA